TGCCGGCTGTGGGACGCCCCGGGAGCGCGCCCCGCCCTGGACGGGCTCCCTTCCCGGCCTGACTTGAAGAGGCCTTCCGCGGGGGCGCCGTCGGTTAAGCACCGACTCGCTGTCCACTCGGGTGCTGACCTCAGGGTCGTGGGACTGGGCCCCGTGTTTGGCTCCACGCGCGGCGTGGAGCCTGCGGTTAGAAAAGGCCTGTGTTGGCTCGGTGAGAGCACCGTGCCTGACTAGCACGCTTGTGTCCCGGTCAGTGCACCTGGCTTGGAGCCTGCGTGTGCGGCCGGCGACGGGCAAGATGTGTCCGCACGTCCTCACCGGGACTTGCGGTTCCGCGTCGAGGGGGCTCTGGGTCGGCCAGCCCGCCTGGCTCAGCTGTGCTTCTCCCCGGGGGAGGTTGTGTTTGAGCGCAGAGGAGCACGGTTCCGTTCCTCCTCCTCGTGAGGATTGAGTTCAGGGGGGTGAGTCTCTCGTGGTTTTCTCTAAGCTCTGAGAAAAGGAGTCTCCACACGAGAGGCCAGAAGTGGCAGAAATGGAGTTGACCTGTTGCAGGCAGCATGCTAAGAGCCGTCTGTACCCAGACTTGCTGACGCCTCCAGGGCCGGCCTTGTAGCCTGGAGCCGGTCTAGCGTCAGTCTGGGTCTTGTCTGTTAAATGCGGGCGTTCAGAAGCAGCTTGAGCTCAGCTCCGGGCTGCATTTGCATTCCGGTGAAGGCAGTGGAAGGAGCAGCCAAGGTGCACTGGGGACCCAGAGAGCCCTGGCTGCTGCAGGGGCCGGTGGTGGGGACAGGCACTGCTCCGATGAGGGCTTGCCCGGCCTGTAGGCCAGACTTAACTGCCAAGCCTGGAATCTCTTCTGGCGCCTTGCTTGGTGAGGTAATACAGAATCTCCTGACACCATTGCTGATGTTCTTGGTGACAAAGGAAGGTCGTAGGAGTGATGACAGCTCGTAATAACGGCTCCCAGATGCCAGTATAAATTTGCACCCTAGCCTGTGCGCTGGACTCGTTTCCCCAGACAGCCCCCTTGGGTAGAGACTGTGTCTCTGTTTCACAACAGAGAACAAGCGCAGAGATGCACAAGTGGCAGTAGAAGAGCTGGGATTCAAACCCAGGTAGTCTGGCTCCGGAGTCCACCACCGTACTCCTTAGAGGAACCTGGGCCACCTGCCTCACAAACCCTACTTTCTGAAGACTCTCCCCGCCCCGGGAGGGTTTTCCAGCTCAGAGGGCTCCAAACCACCTGGACCCTCCTGTACTCCACCTTTCTCTGTAATGTAGGCTTGCTTTGCTTTTAAGGTCTGTATGATCTCTTTGTTTATGCATCTCAGGTGACACCAAGTTGAAAACTGTCCAGGGTGTTGTGACAAGGTACTGCAGCGATTATGGCATGATTGATGATTTGATCTACTTCTCTAACGAAGCTGTGACCACCAAAGTGCTTCTCAGTGTTGGACAGGAAGTTATTGCCCTTGTGCAAGAAGATAAAGTGTCAAATGGACTGAAAGCAATTAGGGTAAGGCCTGAGTGGTTTGCGAAGTCTCTTCATGGTGGGGCTTCGTGTTTAGTTAACCTCTCAGAGACAACATGGGCAAGGCAGAGTGGAATGTACCTGCCCGGGGCTGCTTTTTTTTTTTATAACGGTTTCTGTCTTAAAAAATCAATGGCGGTTATTGTATATTGTTCAAACAACATAGGAATTTATACTTCAGAATGTAAAGCTTGTCTAATTTTATGTCATGGCAAAGAATGCTTAACATTTTTATTCTAGTATTTCAAAAAATTGTTAAAAATTATAACCATTGGACCCCCCCTTTTTTTTTTTTAGAAGAGAACAAATCTACACCCTTACGTATTTTTCAGTAAGTTTAAATCTTTGAGGGGCACAGCATCACACGGATTCTGTGGCCAGTAGCTTTAGCAGGAAGGTTGCTTCAGAATTTGGCACAAACCATATCTCTGTTTCCAGGAGCACAAGTTACTTTTCCCCAGATTACTCTGATTTTGTTCAGTTTGCCACCAGGAGTCACTGTGTTGTTCTTTGCTTTGCACAAAGAAGCGCATCTTCTGCCTAGATGGAATTCAGTTTCATCTGAGCATAACACCTCCAATTTTAAGAAGAGCTGTGTCCTCCTCTGGTTCCAGAGACCCCGCTTATAGCCAACAAAAATGGCCTAGACCACAGCCTTCCAAACATACTTGTCGTTTTAGGAGTCCTGTTCCAGCAGACTCCACAGGCTCCAAGGTGGCAGAAAGAGTGGACCCTTGTAATGCAGTTAGCAAAGATAATTAGTAGATTCTATTCAGCAATTGTGTTCATTTAAAAATAGTATTTTTTGTGCTAGAAGTCTTAGAAGTGGAATTGTTAGTCAAAGCATATGCACATTTAACATTTCAATGGTTATCAGATTATCCTTTAATAATGTACAAATTAATTTATACTCCCAGGAGCAAGATGAGAGACTGCCTGTTACCCAAAGTTGGCAAAGATGTGGATGTTATCAATCTCTGAAATCTTTGCCAATCTAATAAGTGAAAAGTGACTTCATAATTTTAATTTGCACTTAAGCCTTAAAGTAGATTAATTTTCACATTTTTTCTAGGAGTTATTTTCAATGCTTTATACTTTTTTTTGTTTAAAGTTTTTTTAAATTAAAGTTTCTATATTAGGGAAATTAGAGCTTTTTTCCTTTTTGTTAAGAGTTTTATTGAGACAGGGGCACCTGGGTGGCTCAGTCAGTTAAGCATCTGCCTTCGGCTCAGGTGAAGATCCCAGGGTCCTGGGATCCAGTCTGCGTTGGGGCTCCCGGCTCAGCGGGGAGTCTGCTTCTCCCTCTCCCTATGCCCCTCCCCGCTGGCTGTCTGTATATCTGTCTCTCAAATAAATAAATAAAATCTTCAAAAAGTTTTATTGATATATAATCTACATACTATACAGTTCATCCATATGAAGGTATACAATTCAGTGTTTTAATATATTCAGAGTTATGCAGCCATCACCACAATCTGCCATAAGCTGTTAGAAATATAATAATTAAGAACTTTTTCTTCGGGGAAAATTCTCCTCTGCATAGCTTCTTTTTCAGGCATGATCTCAACATGTCAGCCTGTCCAGGCTTCATCTCTCCCTCTCCCCATTCTTGACTTGCTGGTCTTTTAGGAGGGACACTACGAGGGTTTAAAATTTCTCTGTGAAATGTCGTTTTCATTTAAAAAAAAAAAAAAGTTTTTTTAAACTTAATCACCATCACCTTTTTCACCCATCCCCCCACCCATCTCCCCTCTGGTGACCATCAGTTTGTTCTGTATAGTTACAAGTCTGTTTCTTGGTTGGTTTCTCCTTTTTTCGCCCTTTGCTCATTTGTTTTGTTTCTTAAATTCCACATATGGGTGTAATCATATGGTATTTGTCTTTCTCTGACTATTTCGTTTAGCATAATACTCTCTAGTTCCATCCATGTCATTGCAAATGGCAAGATTTTGTTCTTTTTGATGGCTGAGTAATATTCCATTGTATGTATATATACCACCTCTTTTTTTTTTTT